AGGGGATTGGATAGCCTAGACAAGAATGTAGAAAGCTGCTTCCAAATGCAAAGCATGTTCCAAGATCGATTGTTGTTATGACTGCCCCCTCCCCCAGACCCAGAGAATCCCAGACTTCCCTTGCCTTCAGAATAAAAGCAACTCAGGTCCTTAGTCCTCCAGCTCCAAAGGATGCTTGCAGCCTCACCTCACACTGCTCACCTCTCTCAAACACTTATCCACCCAAACCTGCATCAGTGTCTACTGCCTCCCATCTCCCTAATATATCACATGCACATGCATACATATAGCATCAATTTACCTGGCACCTTGCATAAACCTAAGATAACTATGAACTCTAGCCTTTTATCAATGCCTCAGTTGAGTGGAAGCTCCAGCTAGGTTTGGGAGTTGTTTTCCACAAAAATATGCTATGCTTTTTGCAAGTCTCTACAGAAATGACTGAAAGAATTAAACTCCATATGCTGCCAAACTGAAGCCTCCAACAGTGGGAAAAAATGACCGATTAAAGGAATAAGAGATTTCTGCTTCATTTGCTTGAAATTTATTCTACCTTTTATGCCCAGTGAAACCTTAACAGACCTGCAGTATTCACCCTAAATTCTACTTTCTCACAGCTGGAAAGATCTCTCCATCCTCTGGAACCTTGGAGTACTCCACACTTGAGTTACAACATTTATTTAAATCCCCGTTATATTAGAATATTTTTATGCATTCCCCCCACTCTCCCTCCTGTCTTTCTCCCCCTCCCCACTAGATTGAAACTTGGGAAGGCAAAGAATCTGTCTCATACGCTCTGCTGTCTCTTGCAACCTCAATAGACACAGTAATTGACACAGTACTTGGCAAATCAATGTGTCACATTCTGAATAGCTGCATTAAAAAAATACCTGATTTAATGGAGAAACTAAGTCAGAACTTCCAAGATAGATGTGGTATTTGAATCAGGCTATAAGCAGCTGTGAAGAGCATCTTCCAGAATCATACCCTTCCTTCCTTGGCATGTGTCTGAATCTCTGGCCTCTTTTTCACTTACCACCTGCAGAGCAGCCACAGCCACCTAACATAGCTAACACAGCTAACCCATCTGCAGGAGGTGGCCTTGTCTAGGTCATGCCTCGGGCATCCATTCATTGGCCAAGCTAGTTAGGTTTGCCAGTGATTCGCAAGCAGCTAAGAATTAAAGTTTGTCTTTCCCCCAAGGAAAGGTCACTTTGCCTACTTCCCTTGTCTTGGTTGACCTATGTGGCAATACTTCTATTTCGGCTGCCTCCTGGCTCGATCATTTTTCAATTACAGTTTGTCCCTGCCGTTCTAGCTAAGGGTCAATGTGGGTCTCTTCCTGATCATAGATCCACATTTATGAAACTCTAATTAGACATTTCCTTCAGCTGCTGACATAGCTCATTGGGACAAGCCTGCAGCCATAAACTTAGTGTGAACTAAGAGACTGTTTGGATGCCCAATTAAGAGCTCGTGAGCACAGCTCAGCTCATTCCTCTGAGCCTTGGCTGCTCCTCACATAAGTGGTAGCCTCTGTTTCCATTTGGAAACACATGACCATACTGTCTTTTGCGATTCATTACAGATATGAAACAAGATGTGTTCCTTCACAAACTTCTGGTTTTTTTTTTTTTTGCCAACCCCCCCATCCTTGAATATTTAATATGGCAACAGTACAACACAGAGACCTTCTCAAATTCTCTGGGTAAAAGAATAAAGGGTTATAATCACTGTGTATATCAAGAACCTTAAAATAGCTATGATATTTGAGCCATTTAATATCCTTCCAAGAATCTTTCCTAAGGATATATTCAGAAATGCAGACAAATATTTTTGCCCAAGAAATTGATTATAGCATCATCTATAATCATTGTTATGAAATTAATCCAATAATGAGAGATAGTTATGTATTATGGAATATTCATAGCCACATCACATGGCCACTTACAACAGGATTTTCAATTGACAACATTAACCGATCCATACAAACTTTCAAATCATTAGACAGTGTGATCCACTGGCTTTCATGGCTACTGTTTCCCAGAATGTTTATACAAACAGTGTGGATAGAAATATTCCCATCTCCAAGGTTGAAAACATATTATGGTCTTGTTCTTTAAGGCTGCTTGGAGCACGGATATGCTAATGAGGGAGGGAAAGCCCTTGACTTCCACCATGAGGCCCAGCCCAGGACACAGGCTCCCTGTATTATGAGAGGCACCATGGAAGCTGCCTATCAACGAAGCACAATTCAGCAAGACTGAAGGAAAAGTATCTAGGAAACAAACTACCACATTAGGAAGGGCTCTAATGCCCTTAAGATGTGAAATGGTTCTTACTCTTCCTGGAAACATTTTCTGTTGTCTTATGAAAAGGGTGAATGTTGAGAAATGAGGCCAGATGACCACTGCACTTCATCTTCACCAATCACAGAGTGTGCTGTGATTGGCTGAAACACATGGGATAGAGCTGCTACGTGCACAGAGAACATAAGTGCTCTGTGGATAGTGATGGGAATCAGGACTGGGAGCCCTTGTGTGCTACTGACACAGCTGTCCCTGAAGCTTACTTCTCACAGGGGAGGAAATGTCACTGTCACCCTGGACCTAGCCAGAAGCTTCCAGATACCCTGTGGAACATCACCAGGATGTAAACCATTTCCTAAGTTTCTTCTGCTGCCTCCCTATCCTTGACCCCAACTCCGAACATAGGCTGCATTGAGATCCCTTGGGTTGGAAACTTCATTCAAAAGTTTCCCTCACAGTTCCTCCTGTGTAGTACCCCTATGGCCTGGGATCACTCTCCTCTAGTCACAGGCTGAAGCCAAAACCTCTGCATCTAGATATGGTCTGATCAATAAGGTAGGGAGTGTAAACTGAGTCAGGGACTCCCACTGAATTCAATAAAGATATTTGAGTGAACTGCCTGGACCCTTTCTGCTTGCCTACTAAAGATCCTAAAATATTCATCAGGCTTTATCATTCTAATAGGCTTCAAAAGGAGTAATTTTCTAAGATATGAGATGGGACAATATAAAAAGAACAGTAAGGAAAAAAATTCTTATTCCAAAATGAAAGGGAAAAGATCATTTAGCATCCCTGTTGGTGTTATCTATTCATGAGAAACAGCACATTTAATCCAGTGCAGGATGGAGGGAGGGCTTTGATGCCCTCACCTTGGGGTCACCTTCATGTAGAACTCATCAGCCTCCCCTGCCATCTGTGGCAGGGGTGATGAGAGCAGATGATACGGATGAGAAACACTTCAGAGGGTTCTACGGGGTGCAAAGGGAGCAGAGGAGACTGAACACAAAGGAGAGAGCCCAGGCTTGCACAGAGAGAGGGAGGGAGCGCTATTCTCTAGTCCTGCTGCTGTTTCTGTTGCCTGCCTCCCTTTCCACGTTTTATGTTATAGATTGTACAGTGTGAATCTGGTCTCTGGGGTCATGAAATGTGGTTCCTGCTCTGTCAGTTACTCTTAAATCACTGCAACCAAATACCTAAGTGGAGGAGATAGAACTGCTTTTGCTCATTGTTTCAGAGATGTCAGTCCATCATAACAGAGGGGATGGCAGAGCAGAGTCATCCTTGGTAGTCAAGAAACACAGGAAATGTCCAGGGTGAGATACAGTCCCAAAGACACCCTCGTAGTAACCTCTTATTCTAACTAGCTTCGCCCCCATATCCCTAGCTTTCACCACCTCCAAGTAATATGGCCATATTATGAATCCATTAAGGGATTAATTAATTCATTAAGTCAGAGCCATATGGAGGCACTCATCCCTAGAAATGTCCCCATAGACACACCAGAGGTGGGCTTCACTGATCCCCTATGTATTTCTTAACCCAGTGAGGACAACAGTCAAAATCAACTGTTACACTACCCTCTCCCGCACATTCTATGAATCCATGAGTGCTGGTCTCCAACCCTGAGAAAGAACAGGACGCTGGATACGGCAGGCCGTGGAAAGACCTATGTTAAGAGAGTATCTAGTTCTAGTACAGGCCAAAAGTTTCATTTGTGGCCCTTCTCTGCTTCCTCAGGTGCACCAAGGTGGAGGAAGGCAGAGTCCTGCCAGACAGCTTCTGATGAGTCTTAACACAGAAGCTGTGGAAATATAGGCTCCGAATGAGAATTCCTGCTTCTTCCTCTTTCTGAGTCCACCCTTTCTCTAACTCTGAATCCCAACTGCTCTGGCATTCTCTTCTCTCAACGTACTTTCTCCTCCCCTCATTTATCTTAATCTTTAGCATCACTTTTATTGCAACACTGTTCTTTGTACATCTCCATCTAGATCTTAGATCTTAGAAAAATGTTTTCAATTGCACTTTTTCTATATTGAAAGAGTTAGAGAAATTCCATCCAAAGAAATTTAAATAGAAGCTCCTACCTGTCCATTAGAAATGTGTAAGCCTAACTACGTAGGTGGCAATTGTGTGATGTTCTTTCTGCCCTCTGTGCCTAAAGGTTCTGCACCTATGAATCCACCCAGCTGAGAAATGGCTCCCATATTGAATATGAGTAGGCTTTTGCTTTTCTTGTTATTAGTCTCTAGGCAATACAGCTGATCAATTATTTAAAGACTTTACATTTCATTGGGCATTATAAGCGATTTGGGGTTTATTTAAAGTACACAGGAGGATATGCACATGTTACCTGTCAACGCAACACCATTTTATACAAAGAACTTGAACATCTTCAGATTTTAAGCTCAGATTGGTTCCTGGAGTCAATCCTGTGAACACTGAAGGGTGGCTATATTTAGCCGATGACTGGATCCACTTGGAATTCTTCTTCTCATTGTGTTTGATAATGAGTTTGATAATATTGAGGTGTGGTATATGTCAAAATGGTGTTCTTTAAGTCTTTGGGGTTGTAATTTCTAACCCAAAAACATCTTACTTTCAGAATGAGATTTTAAAAGGCTGTTTGGTCTCAAGTTATAGATTCAATTTTAAGTGTTTCTTCTCTCTGTGTGTTCTTTTTTTCCCCATTAGATTTGTGACAAAGAGTGGCATTACTATGTCATCAATGTGGAGTTTCCTGTGGTCACCCTATACATGGATGGAGCAACATATGAACCATACCTGGTGACCAATGACTGGCCCATTCATCCATCTCATATAGCCATGCAGCTTACTGTCGGCGCCTGTTGGCAAGGTAACCCTAAGTGGAGCCCTCTTTTGACTCTGCTGTCCATGGGATATCCTGATAGAGAAAAAGAGACAAGCAACATAAACAGAACAAGCAACATCCAGAACAAAAGTTGTAGCTCTTTACTAACAAATAGTACATAGAAAAGCAAGCATTAATGCAGGCACTAGCCCTAAGTAGTAATAGAACACCTGGCTTAAGAATGGATTTTTATTTTAGATCAGCCTAGGCAAGTTCATTTATTACTCTGGGATCTTAACTGGTTCCATATTGTGGCTGCATATATGAAAGGTTAAATGTAGAATCTCTGATCTAAATTGTCAATTGTCTCCAGGTTGCTTAGAAACCAAGAATCTCATTGTCACTCAAGTGTCCAATCTCCTGGCATCTACATGCCCAGGGATATAAGAAGCAAATTGTCCACAGGCCTTGCAGTCATGGAGACAATTCTAGAGGTGTGCTTAGTACTCAGTAGAGCCTTGCCTCAGCCCTGTCCCTGATCTTTTAGGACAGAAGTCCTTGATAAATACCGCCTATGGAGAGATCCATTTCTTCTACTTCTTCTTATCCATTCCTCTCAATGAATCCCCCAGTTCAAGCCTATTTCCATCTTGGAAGCAGGCAAAGGAGCTTCCCATGCAAACAGCCTTTTGTCTCACTCAGCTCAGTCCTGGGATTCTCTGAAGCTCACTGAGGGCAACTAGAGGGGAAGGAGGATGCTCCCAAATAGGCAGCTAGCACTCTGAGGTAAAAACCCAACCTTGTAACGATGGAATCTGTGAGTGCTTTTACAATTTGGAACTTTAGCTGTTCACCACTGGGCGATGAGGGGAGAGATTAACTTAATGTCACCATTCCTCAGTATTTTTAAGAAATTGGTTGCCACATCTCACAAAAGCCTTGCTCAAGCCCACTTAAGGTGACAGTGCTCCTGCATATAGCCCCTCAGTGTAGGTAAAGTTTCTCGTCAAGACCACTGGTTCCCTCAATAAATGGCACACAGAGACTTACTATTAATTATAAATGCTTGGCTGATAGCTTAGGCTTGTTGCTAGCTAGCTCTTACATCTTAAATTATCCCATACTTTTTTTTAAGTTTTTTTTTATTTTACATATTGATCCCAGTTCCTTCTCTTCCTCCCTCTCTTCCTCCCTCTCTCCCTCCTTCTCTCTTTCCCTCTCTCCCCCCTCACATGCAGCCTGACTACCCTCCCCTCCCACCCACCCCCCACTCCACATGTAGGGTAATGCCATACAGGAGGGGTTGTCTAAATCTGTCAAGTCATTTGGAGTAGGCCTTCTCTCCTGTCTCTAGGTTAAGGGAGTATCCCTCCATGGGGGATGTGTCCACAAGGTCCTTTTGTGCACCAGGTATACATCCTGGTTCCACTGTCTGAGGTCCCTTAAATTGCTCAGGCCTTCTAGCTGAGACCCATGTTCAGGGGGTCTGAGTCAGTCCCATGCTGGATTCCCAGCTATCAGTCTGGGGGCCCATTAGCTCCTCCTTGTTCAGGTCAGCTGTCTCTCTATGTGTTTCTGCAGTGTGGTCTTGTCCTCCCTCTCTGCATCTGGATTCTAGTTCAGCTTAGTGTTTAGTTGTGGGTGTTTGCTTCTGTTTCCAACAGGTACTAGATGAGGGCTCCATGATGGTAGATAAGTTAGTCGTTGACCTCATTATCAGGGAAGGGCATTTATGGTAGCCTTTCCACTGTTGCTCAAATCAGTCTTGTAGGTCTCTGGACATTTCTTTAAGTCCAGGTTTCTCTTCAATCCTAAATGGAGAATTGGTAGGAGAGTCAGGGAGTAGGTACCGAATAAAGCTGCTGCTAGATGCAGCTTCTGTGTAGCCGGTAAAAAGATGCCCAGGAGACAGAAGGTTGGGAATGCAGCCTCACCTCTGAGAACAGAGGGTGGGGTCCAGGTCCATGGGCGCAAAGGTGCCTCAGCATTCAGCACGCGCAAACCCACTGGCCACACTTGGGCCCAGGACTGGCCATTTGCTAGTTCTGCTGCCCTCTTAGGATCTAACTGCCAAATAAATAATCCTCATGTCCTTTTTCTTTTTTTTTTTTTTTTTAAAAAAAAGTATCCCATACTTTTTATCTGTGTTCTACCACACGGAAGGACCTTTGTCAGCATGGCAAGTTCATCTTGCTACTCCCCACCTTCTTCATCCCTATGCTCTCTTTTTTCCCTGGCCATAAGTCCTACTAACCTCTTCCTGCCTGGCTATCCCATTATCTCTTTAAAGTAACCCTAAGCCAATGAGAGCGACACATCTTCACAGTGTACAGAAAGACTATTCCATAACACCAACAGTCCTGTATCCTTCAATCTTCTTATACAATATAAATACTCTAAATAGTTGTTATATCGCATTGTTTAGTAAATTTAAATGTCTGTAAATGGGAAGTGCAGACACTTTTTTTTTTTTTTTTTTTTTTTTTTTTGAGACAGGATTTCTCTGTATTGCTTTGGAGCCTGTCCTGGAACTAGCTCTGTAAACCAGGCTGGCCTTGAACTCACAGAGATCTGTCTGGCTCTGCCTCCCAAGTGCTGGGATTAAAGGCGTGCACCACCAATGTCCATCCAGACACAATTAAAGACATATTTTTGAGCCACCTGAAGAAGTTGTGGGTGTTAGAATCCAAGCATATAATAATTTTTTCTTTGTGGATCAGTTGATCCAGGGGAGACACATTTCTCTGTGGGCTGGATAAAGAGTGATTTCAGAGCATCATCATGGGACAAAATATGCAAAAAAAGAGTATACAGTATACGCTATGAGCCAGGGAGTGGATACAGATGAGTGAGGAATTAAAAGAAGTGTTCCTGAGCTAAGACTACCCATGTCACGTTTGACATGGTTCACCTGAGGGTGACTAGCCTTGTTTAACATTTTTACAGATCTTAAATATGAGAGTTGTTTCATTATTGTAGGCTCCCCAAGATGACCAGGAGAAGAGGACTATACCTTATGGCAAGACTCCATGAAACTAACAGAGCAAGACACTAACTTAGAGAGGTTGGACAGAAATCATTAATCACTGGGCACAGCTGTGCTAAAATGGGGCCCTTGATGTGGCTTAGTGTCCCAGGCAGATACCAACATGGCTATTACTGAACGCAGCCTGGAGAAAACCTATAGGAAAAGATACTACTAGATACATCCTTCTACAAACTATACCATGATTCCTTCCTGGTTGCCCTCAGAGGTCACCCTAGCCTGCAACCAGCCTCTACTTGCACAAGTCAGTTACAGCTACTGCTCACCGGTTGTATATGTTTGCCAAACACTTGGTGGGAAACAATCCCACCAAGTAAAAAGTGATTCTGTAAATAATTCAGGTGATCCCTGTATCAGTTAGAATAGGCTGGTGCCCTGCAGTGACAGGCATGCTCCAATTCTCAGTTAATTCATACTTGTGTCTCTCCGTATTCTTTATCAATCTCTTCCCTGCTTTATTGTCAATGTGGGACCCAAGCAAGTACAACAGCCACCTTTCTAAAGAGAGAGAGAGAGAGAGAGAGAGAGAGAGAGAGAGAGAGAGAGAGAGAGAGAGAGAGAACAGCAAAGTGTGTACAAGCTCCAAGAGCTTCAACCTATCACTGATACCAGTCACTTTATACTTCTATTGCCCAAAGCAATTAATCAGGCCACAGCTAAGAGAGGGAAGGGAAGTGATGGCTGTGGTGTGTCGGGAAAGAAAACTGAAAGTATTGTATGAATAACATATATAAACACCACAGCCTACCCATCTTGTCAACTAACATTTGTTTGGCTGTATTTTCCAATTAGTTAATAAATACATATTAGTTAGTATGTTTTAATACATATATATGTATTTATATAAATTAATAGGACAGATAATCTGACATCACCACAACCACCACCCCCCACAGGCACACATGCACACATGTACAAACACACACACACACACACACACACACACATACACACACACACACCATACAGCACTTCCATTAAAGAAGTATTAGAAACATTCTAGCACCTTGGTCCATAGCAGTTAAGAAAAACCCCTCTGGCAGACATGAGTGAGGGTGGAAAATATTTTTTGTGTCTCTTTAAGTCCATTTAGTGGGAGTTGTTTACTTCATAGGCCACATCTGAAGAGGGTGCTAAGATTCCATAAATGTCATCTAAAATGGACATAGATTACAATTTATTTGAAAGCCACTTAACCCAAGTATATGTTTGTACTATAGTAGGAATATTGAACTCTAAGTTATTGTCCTAGTTTCAGTGTGTCTCTGTGATAAACATACCAAGACCAGAAACAGCTTCGGAGAGGAAGGGGTTTATTCCATCTTACACTTTGATAACCCACCATTGAGAGAAGTCAGGGCAGGAACTCAAGGAAGCAAGCTGGAGTTGAGAACTATGGAGGAAAGCTGCTTACTGGTGCATTCTCCTAGCTCTCTCAGCTAGCTTTCTTTTATAGGGCAAACTCATCGGCCTAGGTATGGTGCCTTCCACAGTGGGCTAAACCCTCCCCCATCAATCATCAGTCAAGACAAACACCCACAGACATGGCCACCACAGGCCAGTCTGATCTGGGCAGTTCCTCAGCTAAACTAATCTCTTTCTGGGTGACTGCTTTGTGTCAAGTTAACAGTAAAACCCAACTGGGACAGACACTCATCTACATTTTGGTTCTTTTTCCATACATGTGCTAGGATGTTCTTCCTTGGATCGATGAGGTCTTGAGTCTTTCTCTGTCTGGTTTACTGAGTGGAAGTCCCTAATATCAATTTCTGGTGGGCACCACGGGAGCTGATCTATACTGATGCAGGTGCTACAAACTCTACTTTCTGTAACCCTGTCATTGAAAAACACAAAACCTGTCCTCCTCCTACTAACCAGCTGTGTACCTCCTTAATTCTCCATGAAACAACAAAACAAGAGCAGCCTGCAAGTCAGAAAATTTTTGAGTTACATTCCAGCCTAATCTCTTGCTGGCTATATTTACAAAGGATCTTAAATC